TGCCGTAGTCTCCACCCTGCGCGTTGACCTCGGCGCCCTTGTCGATGAGCAGCCTCACGATCTCTTCGTAGCCTCCGGATGAAGCCGCGTAGAGTGCGTTGCCGAAGTATCCACCCTGCACGTTCGGGTCGGCATCTTTGTCGAGCAGCAGCTTTACCACCTGCTCGTGGCCTCCGGATAAAGCCGCGTGGAGTGCGTTGCCGTAGTCTCCACCCTTGGCGTTTGGGTTGGCACCCTTGTCAAGCAGCAGCTTTACCACCTGCTCGTGGCCTCCGGATGAAGCCGCCTGGAGTGCGTTGCCGTAGTTTCCACCCTGGGCGTTTGGGTTGGCACCCTTGTCAAGCAGGAGGCCAGTAATCTCGTCATGTCCATGTTTGCTAGCAACCGCTAATGGAGCGTCGCCCCACCTGTTCTCTGCATTAACGAGTTTAGTGGGATCTTCTGATGCGAGCAACAGCTCCTGCGTGATGCTGGATAACCCAAATTGTGCCGTGTAGTGCAAGCCTGTGATTGTAGGATAGTCCTGGCTATATCTTGAGGATTTCCATTCTAGACATAGTAGCACCTGTGCAGCGCATGCAAGTAACCCAGGGTCTAGAAGAAAAGAACAGGCAAGTTGGCACACTTCAGCTTCAACTGCTCTTACGTGGTCGCCCCCGTACTTCGCTGCATAGTCTAGGAACTCATGATCAGCGAGCCTATGTTTAAATTCAACATCAGTAGGACAACTCCCGCTCTTGAAAGCGTCGAAAGACAGGTACGTGAGGCATGTGGTAGCAATCTGCTGTTGTGCTGCTGGATTCCATGTATCCTTGATCCGTTCGAAATAGTCTTGTGTGGTGTAGTGCACAAGACGGACGATAGAACTCTCGCGATCGACGACAACAAGACCGGCACACACAGATACCAAGTCCTCGACATCGCATATGCCCTCGGGGTCACGCTCTGTATCCTCAGGTTCTATCGCCAAAGCGCAGCAAATCTCAACTGTGGTAAGCGGCCTTTTCGCGAATGTGATCCATGATAGAACTTTTTTGGCTCGTTCCCGGTCACCTTCTAGTTGCCCGTTAATTCTGGCCAACGCATCTTTGTACGCATCATCGAGTGCGGTTGAGCCTTTGGCAAACTTAGCCAGAGTTGTTTTGACCTCTCTTGGGTTTCTCTTATCTGACAGTGAATCTATGTGCAGTCGAGCAAGAAGGAACCTAGCATTTAATAAGACCGCCTGGATTTATACAATAAGATAAGAGACATACATGCCGTCTACCGCCTCTACGATCTTCGTTTGCACCATGTCTTGCAGCTCATCGCTACGTTGAATGCATTTGTGAAGTCGATATATCTGGCCTGCCACGTAACGCTTCACATCTTCTTCACTAGCCTGGATCTCCAACTTCATTGCATCTCGAAATCCATCTTCAATCTCTGGTATGAACCGCGAGGTGGCCATGAGGCGAATGTCTCGTCCTGCTTGTAGGGCTCGGAGTTTGGCAAGAAACGTACGACGCGTGCCGTCACTCCCTCGACATTCGTCTAGAGCGTCGATCACTATATAGGCTGTAGAGAAACGTGCTAGCACATCTTGGAGAGCGCTGCAGATTTCGTCAAGTGACGGCCTAGTCCCCTTGTTAGCATGCTGCTTGTGTAATCGTTCTACGGGATCCACAGCCGACGGATGAGCCTGCACCAGCTCCTTTAGAATGGCCGCCAGCATACTGACAGCATCCTGCTCCTCTTGAGATTTGTAGTTGCAGTACACATAAGCAAGTCCATGCGAGCTGTTCTGCGCGGATTTTGACAGGTGGTCAATTGCGATGGCGGCTATCATGGTCTTGCCTGCTCCTGGAATTCCAGGGCAGAAGAGGGTTCCGTTGGCTTCGGTGAGCCATCTTGCCGTCTCAGGCGCGTCCAAAAACCACTGGCCTGTTCCTTCCTGCCTGCGCTTTATGATGTCGGATTGTTGAGCCGGGTAATCCGAGGGGGATACCCATTCCACCACCTGACGGTACTTTGCGGAATTCTGATCTTGCTGTATCTTCTCCACTCCAGACTTTATACCAGGCACCTGGGCCCGCACGAAGTCGGTGTCGCTTTTGATGGCTTCCGAGATTTTGCTGGTTCATATTAGCAATGCAGTTCAGCGGCGTCGGTGGTGGAAGCCTACAAATGGTCCATTTGTAGCGCGATCTCCACAAGCGACTTTAGACGCTCCATCCGACCCAAAATACTTGCAATCTCTTCTTTCTTGAACTTCCACACCAGCACTTCACCCGCCCTCCCTAATCGGCCACTGTCTGTCATCTTGGTCTGCAACGTTTCAAGCGCTTCCTTGAACTGATCGAACGGCCCATTTTCAACTGCAAGGCCTCGAAGGGCAGTAAACCATGATTTCTCAGGATCCCCCGTCTCAAGCCGAGCTCTAAGGTTGAAAAGTAGGTTGTATAGATTCGAGATCTCGACAGCGCACTGTGTGCGGTCTTTCGAGGCATCTTTGACGTCGTTCAAGTACGCGAGAACTTTGGTTGAGAGCTGGAGGATAGCGATGATGCTGGCTGTCACACTAAGCGGATCCATCTGGGAATAACACAGCCCAAAGGATAGCCGTATGGAAGAGTAGTGGAGAGTGATGGCGACATGATGCAGGCAGAAGGGCTGATGGATAGCAATCAGGCTGAGGCTGAACAGGTGCAGATGAGCTGCATCGACTTACGCCGCACCTTATCGATAACACCAGACCTTGCTTGCTCCGTGCGCTACGGAACCCAAAGCGCTTTTGCCATTTGTGGCTAAACGCTGTGCCAGAATGGAATAGTTCCAGAAACTTCCACCGCGAAGCAAGATCCTGTTTGTCCTGTTTGCAACTTTGCAACGTAAGTTATGTTCCTCAAACAGCTGACATAGCAAACACGCTAGCTATAAACAGTACCTGCTTCGCTCCCAAGTACTACGCGCGGTGGCAATTCTGCACAAATCTCCGTGCTGCACTAGAAGTAGAGCTGATAGTGACGTCTAAGTGGCTGGAGTAGGATTACAAGCCTTGGAACTCTTAAATAAGACGTATTAGAGCTGCACGAGCAGTAGAATAACACTGCTTTCGGAAAGTCCTTTCTGGTTCGCAAATGTGGATCTGCTGGAAGGAAGGCGAGAGGGCAACAATGCAGAGGTAATTTTGGAATAGGAACAGTACGTTACATAGAGCAGAAGCTATAATACCTATGGCATATCACAAATAGTTTAACATTAATGCATATCTGAGATAGCAAGCCAGCCAAGTCAAAGTACCCCTTGAACTTTTCGGCACAGAGGGTTTTTCGTTACGCAGGGACGGACGTTAGATCAAACGATAATCCGAAATTGACGCAATCCGCACAGCCACAAATCCTACGGTAAAGATACGCAGATGTAACTTAGGACATACATACATATCATCGCACATTAGCTCAGACCGGCGGTTCGCTTCCGCCGGAACCCATTGACGAGGCGCTTGATTTATGCAGGACTGATCTGCTGATCAGCACTTCCTGCAGAAGTAGCAGCCGAACCTGGCTGGTTCGTGATGACTTGCAGATCCAGCCTTACGCTTGCCGTGTAACGTACCTATGATGACTGCTCGGTCTGTGGCTGTGTGACTGTTGCGGTTACGCGACGCCGCTGCCAAGAAAATCAAGCTCCCAGCTTTGGATTGGGAGCAGAGCTGAGGTCAACGGCCGCTACCTGCTTAGCATTTGATACAGTGCCTTGCAAAACCGGTCTCACCTGTGGTACGTTCCGAGATTTTATCAGCTCCTTGCACGACTCGACTGCTGTCAAGTACATTTCTGATATATTCTATAGTAAACGCAGCCTTATGAAGGTAATAAGTGCGTATAATATAAAGCAGAATTATAAACTGTCACGGATCAGTATCCTAGGGAACCAGATGGATCAAAGGATCAGCTGGCTGCAATCAGAGTACTAAAGTTAAATTGAAGACAATAAGCTACTGAGCTATCTAGGGCAGGAGGAAAAGGTCCTTGTATAGTAGGATAGGCAGCTACTGCACGGGCCATTCACCTGGCAGTGGTGCAGGGGCCATATCCTCCATCTGATATAACAGTGAAAGACGTCTCGTCTGATGTTGATATTCTGTCGTCTGATAGTGCTCGATCTTGGTGATCAACCGTCACATAAACTCATCGCAATAGTTCTAAGTCCTTGCTCTGCTTCCCATTTAGCTAAGGTTTCCCGAGAAGACACTAGATCAGGATGCCCTGCTCGAAGAGTCTGACAGCGAAGATGAACGCACTCCTGCAGCAAGCCTATAGCTTCAGCACGTCTCTCTAAGCTTTTCCATGTCCAAGCAAGATTAGCCATGCTGATCAGCGTGGAAGGATGGTCCGCTCCCAGTTTCTTCTTAAAAGTCTCCATCACTTGCACCCCCAGCTCCTCTGCTACATTCCACCGCCCTTGATTCTGGTAAGTCGATGCCAGATTACCCATGCTGGTCAGCGTGTCTGGATGGTCTGCTCCCAGTTTCATCTTGCGAGTCTCCATTACTTGCACCTCCAGCTCCTCTGCTGCATCCCACCGCCCTTG